GCCCTGACAATTTAAGGAAGCAATCGCTGCTTCAAAGGGGATCGTTCCTGAGTTTGGAAAAACGGTTTCATCCTCGACAAGGTTGGGATTTATTTTCTTATTTTAGAACTTATATAAGGCAGGAGGAACTAATCTGCTTTGAGCAGAGCACCCGCTCTTTTTGCACCCAGGACGAGCTGCCTGGAGGAAGGAGCAGTTCAGAGGGATCTGCAGAGTTTGGGGGCAGCGTTTGAGATCACTCCCAGGATGGGGTGATTCTCAGCAGATCCAAAAGAAACCTTTCAAGTCCTTTTTGCCAAAGGATTTGACCTGGACACAGGACTGATGGGGACAAAATGCCCTGAAATTCCAGTAAGCCTTAATGAGATACAACATTGGGGAAGGTGATTATTTCCAGCACCCAACTTCGACTCCCTGCAAGGAGCTGGGCCAGTGGAGAGATTCCTGCTTCCCCACAAGGAGCTGGGCTAGTGGAAAGTTCCCTGGTTCCCTCCAAGCCCTCCCAGAGGAAATCCCCACCTTCCCTCTCCGTCCACCTGCCAGAGGAGCCCATCCTGGGGTGACAGCTGCTGTCACTGCGGGAGGAACGAGCCAGGGTGACAGCAAAGTTCATCAGAGTCGTGCTAACGAGGCTCTTTCCTGGAAGTGGGTTAAGTGACAGCACGGGGACTCCCCATGGGAAGTGAACGGGTCAGGGCAAGCAGGTGGGAAGTGGAACCTCATCCAGCAGCATCATCCCATCCCAAACCATGCCAGGGCACTCACACGGAGGTTTTGGTGCCATAAAAGGCTGCACAGCCCAAAATGCAGCACAACCCCTGAAAGTGCTGCCCTCCCACAGCCCAAGCACACCCAGGCAAGTTCAGGAATTAAAGTCCAACCAGTCTGGCTCCGCCGCAGCGCTGGATTCCCCACAGGCAGAACACCAGGATATGCTGAATAACTCAGGCAGCTCTTTCATGTTACTATTCTGGCATGGTTAGATCCAATTCAGGAGCATCCTGTGCCCTCCCTCTTCCTCCTCCTCCCCTATATCCTTGCCACCCACGTCACTGACTTGTGCAGCCATGCTCCAAAATGATCCAGGAGGCTGGGAAGGGAGAGGGAGGGGTGGAAAAGCAAAGATAACCCAAACCTCACACCGTTTCCAGAGCTCCTTCTGCAGGGAGGAAGGACACACAGGAGGAGAGCGCCGAAGCAGGAGCAAGGGGAACCTCTTAAATCCAAGGGGAACCTCTTAAACCACCTCTGCAACCATCAGGTCGGTACAGAGGAACTGCAGCCTGTGTTTTGCTCCTGACAGCCCTCCCCCCTCCCTGAGCAGCACGCCAGAATCCAGGAGAAGGACGGCAGCCAACGGGCAGCACCGGCGCTGGATCCTCCTCGTGGCTGTTCAGGGCTCATTAACTCATGAAATATATATTTAAAATCTCACCTAAGTGAGATACTTCTGGCACATTAATAAATGCAGGCACAGATGCAATGGGAGTTCCACCCAGTCCCCATCTGGCTGCAGCAGTGATTACAAGCTGGGGAATTTTGGGAGCTGTTACAGACCCAGTGGGAAAAGGAACGCCGCCTGGAAACCAAATAGAATTTTTTCTGGAAACCAAAAATCTCCCTAAAAAGGGGAGAATCTCTTTTAATTAGACAGCCACAGCCATGCTCTGAGGAGAGGGGAATATGAGACTGCTCTGTAAAGCGATTAAGGAAAAAAATCCAACCCAGAGCTGCTGGAGCAATCAGAGACACTGCCAAATGCTGAGTGAAATGACAGGCAGGAGGAATTCCTTGCAGAAATCTCCTCCTTGTATCACATTTCTCTGCTTGTTCCAATCATGCTACAAAACTGCAATTCTGTGAGATTCCTGTGTGCTGCTCCAGCAATGAATGACCTGGAAACACGCAGCAAAATCGGCTCTTACAGCAGGAATTTGTACAGGTTTCCCTGCTCTGCTCCTGTCTCTGAGACTGGAGGGGGGAAGAAATAACTCCATTAGGTTTCCTCCCAAAATGGATTCATTTTCCCTGGAATGGTGCTTCTCACCTAAGCTCATTTCAGCCACTACCACCCATTTTCCCCGAGCAGGCACCGCTGGTCTCTCCTCTCCTCCCCTCCCAGCTCCGAGGAAGCACCTTCTCACAGGAATAAAAATATCCACAGTACCCACAGGCACCTCACAGAAAACCATTCCAGAACTCCTGATTTTCATCCCTGCCCAGAAACAGAGTCTCCCACCAGCCATGCCCAGGGTTATATAATCCCCACGCGTGCCCCTGCTTGTACCGAAACCGTGTATTAAAAAACACAAGATAAAACCATCAAGCGAGATTACAGGGGGGGCAAGAAACCACATCAAATTCCAGCATTCCTTCCAGCTTTTTTGGAGCAGGGAATCTACAGAGCCGCTCCGAGCAGGCAGGGATGTGACAGCAGGGAGCTTTAGGAGAGCGCGTTTCTCCTCTGCAGCCTCTCCTCCATTCACCGCGCGATTAAAATGCAGGAGGTGAAATCCCAACAGCAGAAACACTCCATTGAGCCGGCTGGGAAACCGCCCGGGCTCTGCAAACGTTCAAAGGGAGAGGCTCTGCCAGTCACAGCAGCTGAACTTCCCCAGCATCACCCCATCCTTGGCAGCCTCACCGTCCTCCGTGCGGGGCCAAGCCTTTGTTCGGCACGCTCGGTCCTACCTGGCAGTGAGATCCAGAGGGATCCGGCAGTGAGATCCTGGAGAGGTCAGCAGTGAGATCCCAGAGAGCCCTGGTAGAGGGATCCCAGAGAGATCCTGCAGTGAGATCCCGGAGAGATCCAGCAGTGAGATCCTGGAGCTCTGGCAGCGAGCTCCAGAGAGCTCTGTCAGAGAGAATCCAGAGAGCTCCGGCAGCGAGACCCTGGACAGATCCGACAGTGAGATCCCAGAGAGCTCTGTCACTGAGATCCCGAGAGCTCTGCCACTGAGATCCCACAGAGCTCTGCCACTGAGATCCCACAGAGCTCTGCCAGCGAGCTCCAGAAAGGTCCAACAGTGAGATCCCGGAGAGACAGATCTGACAGCGAGCTCCAGACACCTCCCCCAGCGAGATCCCAAAGAGCTCGTCAGCGAGCCCCGGGGCGCTCCAGTAGCGAGATCCCAGACAGCTCTGGCAGCGAGATCCCGGAGAGCTCCATCACTGAGATCCCGGAGAGCTCCGGCAGGAAAACGCCAGCTCAGCGCCGGCTCCTCTCCCCGAATCCATGAGCCGAGCCCATCCCAGCCGCGTCCCGGCCGTGCCACGCCGGGCTGGCTCCGGAGCTCTTCCTGCCTGTCGCCCTCGCAGGCAGAGCCCGAGCTCTTAAAGAGGCAACGCAAGGGGGGCCTCGGCGATGCCTTCCTGCTGGGCTTTGGTACCCAAGCGCTTCCAGGCTGCTGGAATCCCTCTGCTTGCCCAGCTTCCCCGCCGAGGGATGGGAGGCAGCATGGTGCTCCTCTTAGCAAGTTTATATGAGATAATAATCAAGCCAGGGCTTATAAAGGAAAGGATAAGGGAAAAGCATCAGCTCCCCTGCAGCACGGTGTGGTCTGGAAGGCTGCACGGCAAGGAATGAGAAGCTTGGAAAGTTCCAGTGCTGGGGAGGATTAAATGGCAGCACACACTCCTCAGCAGGAAATTTTGCAGCTTGTTTCCCTCAGCTTTCCAGTCACTACCCCCAAACTCAGCACCACGACCCCCTGTTCTCAGCAACCACTTCATCCATCAACTCCCTCTTTAAAATCAATCCCTCTTTTGACAGATCATGTTTCAGAAGCCCGGGGAAGGAAAGCTGGTAAAGCAAACTGCAGCCTTTAAAAAAATCAAACAACAAAACCCCAAATCAACCACCAAGTGAAAGTCACCTGGGAAAAAAATTAATGTGTAAGACTAAACCAGTGTCATCTGCTCTCACCACACTCAAAGGTGACAACCAAACCGACTTCATCCAAGGGAAAATAAAAGGTTACAAAGCAAGTAACTCCAAACTTAGGAAAAGGCAGGACTGATGTTGCCTGGGTGACCAGAATTCAATCCCCCCGTGTATCCACAGAATCCAGCCCTTAATTAGAGGCACATTCTGGTTTCCCCCATGTCCTTGTCACCTCCACGTTTTCATCTCTTACAGGACTCGAGCACCCCTGACCACAGCTGAGTGTGCTCACAACAAATGAGAGCTAATTAATATTACAGAAATCAAGACCAAATTACATTCAAGGATTTTGGAAAACATTTAAAGACTTAAAACCCACCTAATGAGACGCCAACCCTCTCTAACCCTTCCAAAGCCTCTACCCAACGACACATCCCATCCCTCGTCCTTGCAGAGATCACGTTTCATTTCAGGGTGGGTTTGGGGTTTATTTTGCCTGTTCAGGGTTTTCTTTGCTAGTGGATTCCTGATAAGGGGGCCAGTTCCATAAGAATGATGTGGCCTCTGTATGAAAACACCACTTTTATTGTCATTTTCTTAGCCAGGTGCAACTGCCCTTGAGCAACACGACGTGATGTCAGAGTGAAGCACAACCCTGAGCCCTGACTGTTCCACAGGTCAGGCCCCAGTGGGGCACTGCTGTTTCAGTGTTTGGTGTTTACTGTTATTATACCAGGGAAAAAGCACATACAACTTTTTCGCCGGCAGGAGCACTCAGGGATACGGTCACAGTCAAGGGCTGCAGCTGAGGAATTCCTTAAAAGACCTTGTCAGCTTTACACCTTAATAATTAATACTTCAGTCTGATCCAAGGACGTATTTCTGGCAAGCCAAAGGTTCTAAAAATAAAGAAACGTGACAAAAGGTGTTTGCAAACAGGCAAAAATGGGGTTTATGGTTTAAAAGTATCGAGGGTTGTAACAGAGCAGTGCATCATTCCTGTAAAGAGAAACCTCCAGGATCCACCACCTTCCCTAACGACTTATCCCCAGAAGGATCCGATGGCAAAAGCCATTATTAAGCTTGTTCCAACATTTTATGGCCCAGTATAAAGCTCTTCAGTGCCACATGTGCAGTCAGTGTTCACAGCCCAGCTGCCATTTATCAAGCATATAAATTTTAAGTGGATCAATGAAGTGTTTGTGCAACAACCTCTTTAATCCTTCGTGTATTTTGTGTATTAAACAGTAACACGGAATTCCCTTTAAGTTCTTGTTTATGGGCTGTTTTATACTTGGAACAATACTTTAAATAAGGTATTTATCTCCTGCTTTTGTAACAGGAATGCACCTACATAAATACAGTGGATGTCTCAGGGCTCCTTTATGGCCTGGCTGGAAATCCCTGAGCACAGGACTGGGTCCCCCAGCTGAACCAGGTGATGATAACGGGAAGTGATGGGGCTCATCCATCCCTCTGCCATCCGAGTGCTCCTCATTAAATCATCCTCTCCTGAGCTCTGCCCAGATCCCAGTGTTACAGTGAGGCTCTCTCTCCCTGCTCATCCCAGCTTATGCCTCTGAACAAACGTTCATAATAAACACCTCATAATAAACCTTGTCTGGAAATTCATCTTGAGCTTTTTCACCTAATTCTGTATCACTGATCTCAGCAGCGGCTTCCAAATAATCCCAAACACTTCCCTTCCCTGCTGTCTGCCACACAATGGTCCCCGAGCTGTGCTTGCACGGAGCTGAATGGGAACAGGCAGAGCTTTCCAAAGGAAAGGGGCACACCAGTCCCAGTGAACCTCAATGCCTGGCGGAAGACAAGCTTTCCAAGGCTGAAAATTGCAGCTTGAAAGGAAACTGTGACCTTCAAATGCTTACTGAACAGCATGCTGTCCCTCTCCTTCCTCCAACTACACAGACCCCTCCTCCCCTCCCCTCGGGAGCCCCGGCACGTTTGGGATCTCTGCGGATGCCGGCGCTGGCACGTCCGACTGCATGGCCCGAGCTCAGGGGGCACAGCCCCCCTGGCACAGCCCCAGCCCTCCTGGCTGAGATAAACCTGCTCCAGCCACGCTGCAGCCAAGGTTACACCCGAGCACATCTTAAATCCTCCAGCTTACACCCCTGCTAAATATCCATTCCACAAAATATCACAGGATCCCAGAGTGGGTTGGGTTGGAAACGACCTTAAACCTCAGCCAGTGCCACCCCCTCCACGGGCAGGGACACCTTCCACCAGCCCAGGATGCTCCAAGCCCCGTCCAACCTGGCCTTGGACACTTCCAGGGATCCAGGGGCAGCCACAGCTTCTCTGGGCAACCTGTGCCAGGGCCCCCCCACCCTCCCAGCCAGGAATTCCTTCCCAATATCCCATCCAACCCTGCCCCCTGGCACTTTAAACCATTCCCCCTTGCCCTGCCACCATCTGCCCATATAAAAAGTCCCTTTTCCCTCTTTTTTACAAGCCCTTTTCTTTTCAGGTTTTGGTCCACATGTGATACCTCTCACAGACAAGCCAAGTGGGAATGCCGAAGGAAAGCCGGGGGGGTTAGAGGGGAAGATAACAGGAAAAAACCACCCCTTTGTTGCAAATGAACTGTATTGCCAGCACCCCACCCACCCTGCACGCTTTCCAATACAAACCAGCAGCACTGGGAGCACCAGCTGCAACAGCTCCACCTGCACACAAGCACCTAATTAGGCAGAGCTCATTACTCCCAGGCTCAGTTTTGCATCTCTAAATTAACCAGCACTGGTGACAGCTCACCCAGGAGCTCATCAATCAGCCAGACCTCGCCTCACCCTCTGTCTCCTCCAGCCCTGGGAGAGTTCCCGGGGGGAACCCGGACCCAGATCCCGGCAAAAGGCACAAAAGCCCAATCGATTCTTTTGCTCGATACAAATGTGTCTCTAAGGGCAACCTGATTTTGTTACTCCATCTCTGTCTCCCTCAACTGCTACCCCAGCATGGAGGCAAACCGGCTATTTTCAGCTGAGACCTGTAAAGGTTGTTAGGGGTGGAAGAAACTGTGCCTAAACCCTGCTAATCCTGCTGGGATTTTCCCTGAAAGGGGGTGTTGGTGGGTGGGGGACGGGTCTGGAAGCCACAAACAAGAGTATTTCTGGAACTGTGAACTCTGGTGTATCTTTATTTTTATCAGCAGCATCTCCCAGAAGCACAGGGTTTTTAAAGCACAGCCTGAATAAATCCAGGTTAAATCCAGGTCTGAACCAAGCTGTGAAATATTAGTAATTAACAAACAAAGCCACAGAGGCTCCTTGGATCGTGTCTGTGCCAGCTCAGGTAACACAAGGTGAACAACGTGCCAGGAGAGCATCCCTTGCTCCGCCACAAACAACTTCTCACCAGCTGACTTGTCCTCTTTTCCTCCATAAAACACCAGCCAATTCCATGTTTTACGAATTCACATTTTATTCTCACAAAAAATGGACTCTTCTAAGAGATGGAAAAGTCAATAGATGTCATCAGCTCCCTTCAGCTGGAAATCATGGCATTACCTCTCCAGAGAGGCAGCGGCATCACGAAGAACGTGCTGATGGAGCCCTGAAATTCCATCTCGTTTCAGGAGGGTTATTTATGATTGCACTTGTCCATGTTAATTGAAACTCCCATCAGGCTGCAGGAACAGGCACCACTCAGGAACCCGGAGCAGCCCCATTTGTCTTCAACAGTCCCCGCTGCTCCGAGCGATCCCTTACGGTCCTCGAGCCACAGCCCAGTCCAGGCTCCTCCTGAACAGCCCCAAACACTCAGGTGGGGGAAAAGGTGAGCCCTGGAGAGCAGCACTGAAAGCAGCTGAGCTCTGCAGAGTCTGCTCCAAGTTACACAGGAGCATGGTGGGCCAATATCCCAAGTGCCACATCCACAGGCCTTCTGAACACCTCCAGGGGTGGGGACTGCCCTGGGCAGCCCCTTACAGTGCCTGTCCACCCTTTCCATGAAGGAATTTTCCCTAATACCAACCTAAACCTGCCCTGGCACAACTTCAAGCTGTTCCCTCTCACCCTGTCCCTTTTCCCTGGGAGCAGAGCCCGACCCTCCCGGGCTCCCCCCTCCTGTCAGGGAGTTGCAGAGTGAGAAGGTCCCACCCTGAGCCTCCTTTTCTCCAGGAACATTAAACTGCTGTATAAGATACTTCTCCAGACGGTTTTTTTTTGCACCCCCAAATGAGAACCAAGCAGATCCCCCTTAAGAAATCATTTCCCTGTAGGAGATGGTAACAGTGCCTGAATTCACAGCACAACAGCCACACCAGCTCCACGAATCCTGCAAGTCTGGGAAGATTTAATCAAAGGATGGAGGTTTGATGGGAGGGGGAAAGGAGGGGCAGGTACACACACTAAGGAATGAGATGAAGCATTGCTGTGCTACACCCTAACCATGCATACACCATCTGCAATGCTCTAACTCGAGGC